TTATGTCTTTCAAACAGTGTACTGAACCCCTCGGCTATGTTCAAACAGACATTAGCACCTGTGTGAAAAAAAAATAGCCCAGTGCACTATTGCAAAAAAAAAAAAAAAAAAAAATAGGACCTGACAATGCTGCTTGTGGGCCAATCAAATACATACAAGCATATGATCCTAATAAATTACTTTCACACAGGGGAGTTCTCCCATTTACCTGGCAATCATCGATAAGTAGGATAAAATATTGGCTGTGATAAATTTAAAGAATTATAAATTTATTCCTCATAACATCTGGGCAGAGTTCTGATGCCTGATAACACTTTAAACTCACTGATCTGTTACTCAAACTAGTCTCCCTGGATCATATTCCACCATCTAAATGATACCTAAACAAAAAACCTTACAAATACAGACTCTTGCTTTTTTTAAGACAGTGCTGTGGTTGGTCTAAACACTTAATTTGATTAAAAGAAACATGCACTGTAGAGTATCTAAAAATAAAAGTAGTTAAAATTATATGAAAGTGAATCAGGTTGTGTGCTCAATGAGAAAGAAGCGTCTCTCCAGACAAGACTTAGTGTTAATGGAATAGTCCAACTTTATAAGAAATATATTTATTCACTTTCTTATGGAGAGTTAGATGAGAAGACTGATACCATTTTCATGTCTGTACAGTAAATATGGTGCTACACCACCAGCTGGTTAGCCTAGCTCAGCACAAAGACTGGAAATAGGGGGAAAAATGCTGGTCCGGCTCTTTCCAAAGGTAAAAAATATTGCTACCATCACCACTAAAGCTAATTCACTTACTTCCTTAAGATATATATAGTTTTTTAACCATACAAAATTTTGGCTAAATGTAAAAATGAAAAGTTGCAGTTTTACTGGGAATTGTGTGGGGCACTATTACTTGGCTGGGGGTAGTAACTTCCTGGAGTAGAAATTGTTGTCTAACAACCTCATAGTGACAATACCTCAGCCAGCAGCTGGCTGTAGCTTTATTATCTACTGTACCATTATAAGAGTGGTACTGATATTCTCATCTAACTCTCAACAAGAAAGCAAATGTATTTCCCCAAATATCAAAATGGTCCTTTAGCTGAAGGAAGCCCTCCCTCTGAGAAATACGTGTGATTCAAAACAGTCATCGTTACAATACACAAACGAACAAAGCAGATGTTCTTTCCCAATTCCTCAGCCTTCTTTCTGTCCCTCTACACAGTGTTTTCCTTGATCAAATAAAGAGCAAATGAACTGTGAAATGCTTTGACATTGGATAGACTCAGTTAACTAATTAAAATTTCAAAAACTATAAACATCCTCATTTGGTCTCTTTCACCAATGAAATAAGCTCTAACAACAGCATAAAGTTAAAGGTTCCGTGCCTGAAAGAGTTTCTATAATAGTCCTTTTTCACAACAAGTTAAGATTGCCTTTCTGAGCTCCAGGGTATCAGCATTTCTAGTTTAGTGCTACACTGAGGTTCAGGGATTTCAGGGCAAAACTGTACTCAGAAATATCTGTGAAGTTGTATTAAAGGTCACCATCAACACTCATTTAGGGCATTTTAAATAATGTTTATTCACCATAATACTAATTTTATATTTTGTTACTGCCTCAGACATTTGGTGAATAGAGCTCTGTCATAGCTAGTGTATTGTTAACAGTGTATTATCAGTTGGATGCAAGACCTGGGGGAGACGCAATGACTATTCAAAAAAGTAGCCTGTAGCTTAAGCTGTTTTCATACATGAATTCTGAACCCTGTCCACAGACTCATATCCAAACATTGTCCAGAGCTGCCCTGTCACGCATGTAGCACACAACAGGAGATAGTCAGATTTAAATTTCAGGACACTCACATGTCATACAGGAAACACTTAACAAGTTTTAATATTGAGCATGCTGGTGTACTGCATTTAGAACTTATTTGACTATGTAGGTCGTGCTGATATTAAACAGGTCAATAGGATCTTGGTTATTACATGCTCAATTAGCTCAGCTGCTTTCTTCAGTCTCTCTTAACTAAGAGTCACAGTTTGATACCTTGCAGTAAAAACTGTGTGTAATATTTGCTTTTCTGACATTTGGGCATCATCTAATTTTTCCAGCCTTAAGGAGACAGGGTAAAAGTGCTCTAAAGGTTGGAGCTTTCAAAACTTCCAAAGAATAGTAAATTCTGTTTTAAATTAATATTACACTCAAGTTTAAAAAGATCGCAGTTCTCTGTTATCTACAGACTGAGAGACTTCAGCATGAAGACAGGATTGGGAAAACAACTTGCCACAACAGAAACGCCTCCTATTACTTAATATCCAACAGTTAGAAGAGTTAGAAGGGCTTTGGCATTGCGCCTGGGGCTGGTCAATGACATGATATTAACGCTTGCAGAAAACGTGACTTGACAGCAAGAAACCCCATCAACATACCTTCAATCTTTTGACCACCTCATCATTGCTGATTTTGTCAGTAATCTCTTTTACTCCTGGTGGATAGACGATCTTTCCGTCTCCCGCAGGTTTCTGTTGTTGCGGGAACTCCATGCTTGTTGATGTGTAATCCACACGGTCTTCTACTGGCCTCTATGGGTCAGAAAACAAAAGTTCAACACAACCATGCTACAGCACTTACAAAAACCTCATTTTAAGCATCATTCTCATTTGCCAAACCTCAATTTTGCCCGCTAAATTTAATAAAACATCACGTGTATACTTAACCATATTACAACAAAGAATACTTTTCAAACAGAAAGTCAACATTGCATCAGCATTGTGCATATTATTAGCTTACATGCTAAAATGCCCCAGCTAAACATCAGCTCCATATTTCCGCAAATTTCTCATGAAACATCGTATCGCTGGAGAAAAAAACCCAACTGCTATTTCGAAAACCTTACAGCTACTTGGTCCACCAAGTTGTTGGAAAACAACTTTAAAAACAACAAGAAAGCAGACAGTGTATGTCTTCTGTCATACAGGTTATCAAATTAGCTAGGAGGCTAGTTGCAGTGCAAACATCATTGGCTAGCGGCTAGCTAGCATTTTGCGGGAAGGCTGTCACGTTAACAGCAGCAGGCAGCAGCTAATACACGTTAGCCGAGCTAGCTAACTGCTTAGCCAGATTTGCTAGCCTAGGCCGCAAACTATTCAGGGTACCCATCACATCTCCAGCCATAATCACAGAGGAAGTGAAGTATCCTATCATCTTTGCTTAAAACAGCAATGCTCATGGTAAGTTCCTGTGATATCCAACAAATGCAACTACTTTCTGAAGTTTACAAATGAAGCTAATTTACTTGTTACTGTCTTTTTTCAACTTCAACGCATCCGTTCGTACTGCCGCTAGTTTACAGGCGAAGAAGGGCTGCTACCGTCGCCCTGAGCCCTCCTCTCGCAACCAACTTGCCCCCACGGATGATTTTGAACACCTTAACAAATGCAAAATGAATCTATTTTCAAATATATGGCTACGAATAAAACCCCAGGATATATGCCAAACGTTTCTTCGTTAGTATTTACCTCTCAAGTGGGCCGTTTCCATTCATTTGTCTGATACAGGTTGGGTTTAGTTTTCGGCACAAAGCTCTCTGTCCGTTCAGTCAGTTCAGTCAGTGCTGTCTCTGTGAAGGCTCAGTGCAGAGCGCCCCCCTCGGTCTCACAGGAGTACTGGAGCGCCAAGTACATGGCGGGAGTCACACACAAAAAGCTCAGTTCACCCCAATGTACGGTTTACCCTTAATTTCTCAGCAGTAGGCTACTTGTAAATATTAATTGCTAATCATAGTAACCATTTTGTCTGTCTATTAATTTATCCTGCTACTTTATTATAATATTTATTATTGCTAGCATGTAGTTAACAGGAAACAGTAATACTATTACTATTGCCACGAATAGGCTGTTATCAATCATCATCACAATTATCCTAATAATTGCAATGACAGTCAGTGCAATATTTTAAGGGCTAACATAGTAGTCTCTCAACACCTATACCAAAATGGTTGATATTGCTTTTTCTTGTTTTCATTATTATAGGCCTACTGTTAGGCTACCAGAACTAGCCTACTATAGTCAGTAACAAATTCAGCATCTTAACTTTGTTGATAAAATGGTAAATTGGTGAGAATAGTGATACCTGGTGGTCAAATGGTATTTTAACAACTAAGAAATATCCCAATTTCTTACAGGGTTTGCTCGACATTTGAACTAAATAATTTTACATAAAGATGCTATTATACAAGAAAATTAAGTGATTCTGTGATTTTAAAAAAAGCCTAAATAAACAGAATAGACATTAAAGATAGACCATAGCAATAGCCTACTATGTCTTGAACATACACTGTACAATGGTAGCCTAATTTACTATAATACATTGCCAAGTGGATATTCTGAAAAAAGATGTATAGTGCAGGTGCAGAGCCTGCACTTTCTGGGTTGTGTCCCCCTACAAAAAGCAGCTGGGCCCCTTGTGACATTTAAGATGTCTGTGAGTTTGTTATAATTTATAGCAAAAAGACATTTTCCCTCTAAACTACTCAAATGATTTAAGTACACATACACAGAACTTTTTTCTTCTTTCCTGTGCCATAAATCATTTCACCACTCTCTCTTGTGAGCCTTTGGATGAAGCCAAGCCCTATGTTGACCAACAACAGGAATAAACTACCTTGGCTATATAAAGTTGTTAAAACTAGTTCCACCTTCAGCAGCCCCACAGTAATGCATCAGTATTAACAATCTATTCATATAGTAATCATTCACATAGTGCATTTTACTGCAGAATAATGTATTTTACTTTTGATACTTTAAGTTAATTTTGCTGATACTACTTTTATATATCAAATTTTTAATATAAGACTTGTAATTGAGTAGTTTTACATTGCTGTGTTGTTACTTCTAGGTAAGTGAAGTATCTGAGTAATTCTTTCACCACAGCAGTTCGGACGACATTTGTAATGTACTGAGAAGAACCTTTATTTTGAAGTGTTGATTTCCGGTATTGTTCTCTGGCTGACTTGGGATATTTGGTGTTTTCTCATGTAATTTTTACCACTTACAGTGCTGCTGGATATCATCACCTTGAGTTGGACTTTGGTTAATGTTACTATAACAGATACTACAGTAGTATGTTTTTAGCTCCGTGCTATCTGTTTCTAGCTACTCAGCGTTAGTTAGCTCGATTTAGCCTCTAATGAGAGCAGCGGAAGACGGTGCATCTCGGCCACGAAATGCCTCGGAGAAAGAAAAACGGTCAGGGCACGGCCAGAGTCCCCGGTGGCCCGTCAGACGGGGAGAGCCTCGGCCACAACATGGCTTACCGAGTACCTCAGGGATATGACGGTGCAATGATGAGCAACTTTCCGCCCAGCAACTCAATCCCCAGCTCCGACAAGGAGAAAATCGCCAAAAGCATGCAGGAGATGTTCTCACACCTGGACCCCGAAGTTATAGACATCGTACTGTCCGAGTGTGATTACAAAGGTAGTCCAAATACAGACGACTAAGTCAACATTAGTTGTGCGACTTCTGACTCTTGGGCTAACCAGTTAGGCTAGCTGGGTAGCTTAGCTTGTTAGCTGTGTATTTCTGACAGAGCTGAAGCACTTTACTAAGTTAAAAGAGATTAACTACTTTACAACGGAAGTCATGTAAACGGTGTGTATTATTGAGCAGTCAACTAAAACTGCACCTTGCATTTCTTGGTTCTTCAACCTGTTGTGCCTGTTGGGATGAGCTATGAAAACGCCAGACCCTGCGTCCCTGATACATAGGAATGACAGATACTGTTAGTACAGTGGATCAGATTTTACTTGCATAGCACCAGTAAGTGCTTCTCTGGTTACCAAAGAGAGAAATAACAAACAAGACTAAACAAAAGCACTGCCGACTGGCCTAATGGTTATAGAGTAAAAGTGTTCCAGACCCTAGAGGACACAAAAGCAAACATTTAAGCATTAAGCACAGTTAGTAATCCCTGGTCAGATGAGTCCTGCCTGTACAGACACAGCAGTAGGAGTTTACAAAAACAGACTAAAGAGCCTGCTTCTTTGTACCTGCACCTTGTTAATCTTTAGTGTTAAGTTACCCACATAAAGAGGCAAAGCTGACAGTAAAGCAACTGTGAAACTGAGTTGACACAATATTTCTCAGGACAGAAAATTCAATTAGTTTATATTTTTCAGTCCTTTAAAAGACTGATGCTGTGTTCTTATTGGCCTAAAGATACTAATGGTATGTTTAAAAGGTTACATCATGGTTCTGAGACCAATTTCCTATCAACTGAATTTGAATGGAAATCAGGCAGTGAAAAACCAAAACATGAATTTTAAAGGTTGACTGTAATAAAAGTAACTGACTCACATGTTTGTTTTACTTGGCTTTTTTATCTTCTTGTTTGCGTTCTAGTTGAAAATGCAATGGACTCCTTCTTGGAACTGTCTGTAGCGGCTGAAGTTGCGGCCCCGATTCCTCCTGTATCTGGCTTTGAGCGCACTGCTGCTGCCCTGCTCAGCCCCCACTTTTCTGAACCTAAACCAGACCTGGACTCCTCCAGACCATTACAGCAGTCCTCCTCTCCTCACTCCACCAACCTTCTGTCAGATGAGCTGGACCTGCTAGCTGATCAGGAACTAGAGATACTAAACGCACAACAAGATGTTGGGAGAGAAGAGCACCCCAGCAGCCAGTATTTATATGCTGGTGCGTCCCTTTCCTCCTTCCCTCTTGCACCGCCAGCACCACCACAGCAGGGCCTCCCTGAGCTCCTTCAGTCTAGCCTGGAGCCTAGATCTAGAGGGCCTTCAACCAGTCAGCCAGGTCCAGTGGGTGACCTGATGGAGCATATGTCTGGGGTGTCTTCTCCTCTGGACCAGCTCAGCACTTTGAAAGATGAGACTACAGAGGGGCAGCAGTCGGTGGTAGATTTCACATATCTGATGACAGAGACACCTGAAGACAAGCCAAAACTCCCTTTGGACCTGGCAGCTTCGGGACGTCCGTCAGCTTTCCAGGTGTATAAAAAACAAGACCCTCCACATAATCTTTCAGAGCAGGTTGGAGTCATGCCTTCTGATGTGATAGTCGGAGGAGCAAGATCTAAGGTGAACATGTTAACTCAGGAGCCGCTTGGTTACATGTCAGGCCCTTGGAATCTGAAGGCACCAGTGTTCTTTCCCCGTTTCCATGTAAACCAGGGGCCAGCCTTCATCACCCCTGTGGTGCAACCACTTTCAAACAGGCCCAGCCAACCCAGACATCCCTCTCCGTGGCTGAACCGGGTCTCTGTCAATCGAGCACCTCTCAAACCTTCTGCTTCTATTCCAAAATCCTGGGCTCTGCCTGCTGCTCCACAGTTTCCTTCCCAATACAGCAGGCTTCGTTTGGAGGGGAAGGTGCTCGTGTTGCTACGCGGTGCGCCAGGATCTGGCAAGTCGACCTTGGCGAGGTAAGACTGTTGGGATGCTCTAAATAGCTATATGCTAATCTCTCTGGTAATGTATAATGCTTGTAAGTACAGTTTGCAGTGATATTGCAGAGTGGAAATTTGGTTTTGTGCCAGTATTGCCATAAAAAGAAACAAGCTTGTATTAAAAAGTGCTTGTTTGACTTGACAACATGCTGATACTAAAGTTTTGTTCATAAGCTAAGAAATCATAGCTGTGTTCACCACTTCCTCAATTTAATTTTTATACTAGATTTTAAAATTTACATTTGCCATATGAAACATTACCTCATACTGATGGGAAGGGCTGCACGTCTTTAGAGCAGGGACTTCTGCTTATCCCAAGGTCAAAGCTAAAAACGTAAGGTGATCGCTATTTGACTGTTGATTTGATTTGAGGCACACATCTTCAAAAAGCATCTTAAAACTCAGTGTTTTTAGCTTTTTCTAGATCTTAAAACAATCACTTTGTGTTATACACCTATTTCCCCTTTTTTACATCTCTTCTATCTCCCATTTCCTTTTATTTTTTCTGTAAAGCACTTTACAACTTAAGTTTTACAAAGTACTGTGTAAATAAAGTTAGCTTGCTTGTGTAAAAAGGTAATACATTTGAGAGAGTGTTTATATAATGCTATATTAGTAAAATGTCCCAAGTAGATTTGTTTGCAGTTTTAAATGACTGGGGTAAAAGAAATATTCTTTAGCTGTCTTTAGCTTGTTCCCTTTAGATGTTGAAGAGGGAAAAGAGTTAGCCATTTAAATTTTTTTTTTACTAACCTAATTGGAAGCACGTTAGTTTAGCACAACAAGTTCTGCTAATGATTTGATTTTGATTTGATTTATTCTTTCAAGCATGTAAAGGCAGTTGATATGTCAACACACATAATTTTACACATATCCAACAAATGCTAATCCAATATCAATTTGCTTATACCTAGTACATGCTTGAATGGAGTAGGAAGAAATCAGACTTATCCAGTCCTACCCCATGACATCATCTTACCATCATTGGTTTGCAAGCAGTAAATGATTCTAAATAATTCTCTTCTACACCACACAAGTAATATACTAAAGAATTATTACAAAGTGTTAACATTCATACACCACACCCACAATGTTCCATCTAATTAATCATTAAACCTGTTCTTGCATATATCTTGATTGACACATACCTTTATATTTATGTTTAAACTCATCAATTCTATTACTATTTTTTATGTCCACACTTAAATTATTCCATAGTTTTACCCCACTTATGGAAATACAAAATCTTTTTTTGGTTGTACGCATAACATGAATTTTTAAATTTAACTGACCCCTTAAATTGTATCCCCCTTCCCTTTCATTAAATAGTTTTTGAATTCCACCAGGTAATAAATTGTTCCTGGCTTTATACAAAAACACAGCAGTCTTATATCCCACTAAATCAAAAAAGTCCACTCTACTGGACTCAACTGTTCTACTCTGTCTACTCCACTTCAGTCTACCAGTTCACTTGACTGTGCTTCAGACCACTTCAAGGATAAGCTCACTTTATTTTAATCTGCATTTCCCGTATCACCTTCTCTGTGGTACACATTCAGGGAACAAGAAGTTGTTACCGGGGCAAGGGTTTAGCCTCTGAAAGAGTTCAGAATAAATGTAATGTCAGTCAAATGGTTTGTCGTGCTTCTCTGAGTCAAAGATTAGGCTTGGGCTGCAGGCTGAGGCTACCTACCCAGGCCTAATCTTTGCTTTCCTTCTGACTCAGAGAAGCATGACATTACATTTATTCTGAACTCTCTCAGAAGCTAACCTTTTGTTTTCCTGAATCTCTACAATTAAAGTAATGATAGCAAAACCACTGTTAAAAGAAACAGAGCAGGTTCCAAAAAGCAACGTTATCATCACATCACCCTGCAGGAGCAGAAACAGCTCTAGTTAAGAGTTATAACTCTGTCTTGCTCTAGGTGAGTCTGGGGCAGAGCCTGCATTGACCCTTGAGCTCCCACTGGCTGCACCCTCCGGCCAATCGCAGACTGAAAAAGATGCATACAGTTAATGACATCACAGCTTCCTGTCCATTGATACACTTTGATCCAAGGAGAAGAATAAAATGTGCTGATCAATTCTGTTCTAAATCATCAATAAAAGCATTT